TGCGATGCCGACGGTAGCGGAGCTGAAAGCAGGTCGTGGGGGCGGCGGGGCGCCGGAGGGAGCGGGGAGTCCCGGGGGTCGGCGGAGGCACTTCGGACCGCCGAACGAGCGGGCAGACAGGCTTTCCTCATACAGCCGGCTGCCGGTTGGGTCTCGCAGTCGTCCGGGGCGCTAACGGGGGCCGCCGGCTCCTCACACCGCCCGTCGGGGAGCCGCAGGAGAAACGGCCCTAAGCCCCCACACAAGCACTCTGCCCTTGTCGTTTGTCTCGGTCTGGCTTTCACTCGCTAAAAACATATTGGTCCGGTAACATCCCACTTCTGAAATTGCTAAGCGTATGTTTACTACTAAAAAAAAAAATATAACTGTGGCTTCATTTTCATCTGTAACGTTCCTGCTGTTGGTAATTACTGGCATATGCACAGGTGCAGGTATCTTACCTTTATTTCACTGTGAATATGCCGAAATGATGTTTATATTGTGGATGATAAATGCTGCTTGAGTATGTTTGGCTTTATCTTAACGGATCTTTTTGTGGTAATAGTTTTAAGGGACACACTGGAAAAAAGAGGTGCTCTTGGACAAATAAAAGCAAGGATCAGAGCTGAAGTTTTTAATGCGCTGGATGACCAAACTGAACCACGGCCACCGCTGTCTCATGAAAATCTCTTAATCAACGAACTAATTCGTGAATATCTGGAATATAACAAATATAAATACGCAGCATCTGTTTTAACTGCAGGTATTGGGGCTGAATTTTTGTTATCACTGTATTACTAGACATTTACTGCTTGGTTGAGTAATTCCACTGATATTGTGAAATTAGTAAGTGGAACCAAGCTGCACAATCTTGTCGTATCTTAATAAATAAGATATGAACACTCTCTCCACAGCCTTACTTGCAGCATTAAGCCAAACCATACCATAAGTTTTAAAGAAAACTTACTCTTTGCTCCTTATCCTTGAGGTAAATGCTTTGACAGAGCAGTTGATGCAAGAGCAAGAAAACTTGCTAGCAGCCTGCAAAATCAAAGTATCTTTCTTGAAATATCTGGTTTTGTTTTGGAAAATGGCTAACTATTTTTAAAGCATATATCACTTTTTTTTTTCCATTGGCATTTGGGTAAAATAAAAAATAGAAATCCTACAAATGAACAGAATTTCTTTGAGGAATAATTTAAACTAAAGTAACATGTACATAAAGTAGTTGATAGTCTGAATTACAGCAGGTCTGGTAACTCATGCATATAGACTGCATCAGAAACTTTATGTCCTCAGCTTAAATAACAAAAAAGAATATGAAGAAGGTCCATATTTTTTAACAACTGTTACTGGCTGTGCTAAAATACCAATATTTGAGAGCTGTTTAGACTACAACAGCTAAATGGTAGCCATAATTTATATGGTACAGCACTTACTTATTTTTGCAGCTATTGCTAGCTTGTATTTGAAATTTGAAGTTTTGTAGTTGTGCTTAGATACAGTAATTATATTTGCTATTTAATCATTTGATGTATTTCACTTTATTGAAATTACAGGCACAAAGGTTCATCTCAAGAAGAGGGAATGGAGACAGTCTGTATAGTAGTTAACGTATGGAATCTGTTTGATAACTTCTTTAGAGAAAGAGTTGTTTGCCTGATTAATTTGTCTTTATATTGTAAGGCTTCTTTAATATTTTTCTTAGATTCCTTTAGAGTGAAGATAAAAATTGTAATATGCTATGGTAAATTATATGAATATGAAGTACTAATGTTTAAGTGAGTTCCCTGGTATTACAATATGCTGTTAGATATTAATATCCTAAAAGAGAGCTGTGTGCTCTCATTCTCTTTTGAAGTCTCCTGAGCAACCTTTAAAAGTTAATTGGTGATGTGTTTTTTAACAGTCTTAAGAATTTTGGGGAAATCTCTTTTCCAGAATCTGGCCAGCCTGAAGTGCCCTTGGATAGACAGTTTCTTGCCAAAGAGCTGAACGTAGTCGAAGACGCAAATGGAAGATCAGTGTAAGGAGTGATTTTGGAATGCACAGTATATTCTGTTCTGCATATATTTTTCTCTTTAGTGTTATTATAAGTCATGTAAACGTTCTCACCAATTGAAATGTGACCTGATCACAGGGCTGCTCTGGCAATGCTGGATTCGAACTCACAATGTCGAACACGGGGCCACTATCCAACATACTCAAAACTAACATTTAATTCTGCCAACTCTACAGCATTCTCCAGATAGTGTACTTGCACACCAGAACACAAGTCTCCCACCAGTGCAGTCTTCCCTACAGTCAGAAGCAGAAAACAGATAGCTCTTTGCATATCAGTGAGTTGCTTTGTAGAACAATAAAAAGATTATTGTACTCTGAGATTAGATACATATCCACAATGCTCTGATATGACTGCATTAACGAGCTAGGGTACTGAAGCAGGTTTAAACACGTCCAGTGTTCTCTGTAGCTTGTGCTGTCAGAACCTGTCGTGTCCTCAGGAAGAATCAAGTTTGTGATGTGCAGCCCACCAAAGTCTTATCCTTTGTACTGCACGAGTGAGAATGTGGATCTGTGTTCTTGTGCTAAGCATGCTCCGGTTCCTCCCCTACAGGGGATCTGGAGCTTAGCTGAGAGGGTCTCTTAGCACGACATTTTTAGGAGAGTAGTTTGTGTTCAAGGTGGGCTTAGGTCTGTGCTTATTTATGTAGTGACACTTGGCATAATGTATTTTAAGTAACTATTCTAAAGACATCCGTAAATATTCTAGAAGCAAACATTAAGGTCTCAGAAGTTCTGAGGAAAGGGTGGTTTTTTAATGCTCAGTATTTCATAGACTTCATAGATATTACTTTTGTCATTTCTTTCTTAAGCAGACCTCTCTTGTACGGGATTATCTCTCATTTCTTACATGGTGGTAAAGAAGAAAGTACCCAGAATACCCTTCCAAAAGGGTCTTTGCTGAATTATCCAAAGCAGAACCTTGGCAAACCACCTAGTGAAAGAAATCAAAAAGGTGGGTGTGGGTATGGGGTCATTTTTGCAGAAGTTTTACTTGTGACTAGATTTTCTATACGATACGTATACTTTCACAGCATAAACATGCAGATGGACGCAGTGTACCTCCTCCTCTGTGCAAGGAATGCTTTGAGCCACCACCTCTTTTGTAAGAAAAATTCTTCCGCAGAACAGTGTTTATACCTCAGAAATACCATTAAGCTGTGTGACCTGACCATACCTGTTGCTCATGTATTCATTTAAGAAAGGTCCTACTGTATCCAGCTCAGGAAAGGCCCACCCGTGATTTCTAAAACAACCCGTACATGTGCCTTTGTTTAAATAAGTGACCAGCTTACACCAGCTTCTCTCTGCCGGTATGCTAATGGCACAGCATATGCGGCATACAAATCCGAGTGCCCTCGGAAGTGCTTGACTGGCCTTCAGATGTGTCAGTAGCAGAACTTTCTCTCTTATATGGGAATGGATTTTATTTATAAAGCAGACATTTTTAAAAATTGCAGACAGCCAAATTTATATAATTTCTGAACAATGTAAGGTACTGTGAAGCTCCTGTTACCTTGTGGTAGCTGTAGCTACTTGTTAGTGACTAGAGGGAAAGGAAAAAAAAACCTAATTGTTTAGCTTTATTCTCTTAAGGCTTTTGGACTGTTAAAAACTGAAAACTCATTTAAATTGGACAGCTGTGCTATTCTAATTAGTTCTGCTGCTCTGCAGTTACTGGTAAAGACCAGGAAATACTAATATCCCAATTCTCGGTATCAGAAAGGTTATCCACCAGATTGCTTTACCATTTTCCTAAGTTAAACTGGCCAAATTGTACTCCCTTACACTATTACAAATCTGGAAGGGGTCAGCTAGAGGCAGTCTTATTACATTGGCAATTTAATAAAAGAATTTAACCTAAATTCTCAGTAAAGTATGTTAAATAGTGGGTGTATCTCTTTGTTTCTCATCTGTTCTAACTTACCTAATTACTGTAGAAAGTTCTTAACTCTTTAGATGTCAAGTTTTTATATGGGCATAAACCTTTTCTGAGGACATAATTCACACGCCATTGACTGTAGAAGCTTAAGCTCCGAGTTCATTGCTCTATAGTACCACACTGCTAAATCCTATTTTCCCGTTCTGGTCTGCTTTTTGACTGGTTACAATTTATACTGCCTTAGCTACCGAATGAAAGGGATCATTGATCCAGTTTTTTTCCTTCAAAGAGTCCACTTGGCATATTACTTCAGTTTCTACTGTGAGAATTTAGTACTACCAACTATTTCTTTTGTATCCAAAAATTTGAAAAATGAGGCCTGAGATATTACTGACATCTAAAAAGTGTGACAGAAGTACTGCTTAACAGTTAATTCATTGAGACAATGTTGTTTCCCTTCTGCCAGAAGAGGGGGCTGAAGAAATAAAATTTCAATACCAAAACTGCTATAAATGATCTCTTTGTAGAAAATATTATTCCTATCAGAAATTTCTCCATTTTTAAAAACAAATTCAGTGTATAGAAGAATTGTTTTTGAAGTATAACTTTGTACCTCAGTTCCGAAATTGACTCTGCGCAGCGTCACCCTGCCCTGTTAACTCCAATATAATTTCACATGGGATTTTAATTGTTTAGAGTTAGTTACAAAACTCAGGATTAAGCATGACAGCATAACTCATGACAGCACATTGCTTTTTGAACTAAACAAAAATATAACAGTTTTAAGGCTTTTAACCTTTCAGTAATATAGCCTGAAATTACTTTCTGCATGTGTTTGTGGAATGTGTCGGTGGAGGCCTAAAGGCAGTAGGTTTAAAATACTAATTATCTAGCTGTTTTGATTAGGCTGCATATTAAGGTAATCAAGTCCATTCATAAACTCAACCCTCCAAGTCTCATATTTTAACATCTAAGTTGCTTTTCATATTAGAAATTATCTTGCTTATTTAGTTGAATTAATATTCAAATAAACGAGTATACAGACGGGGAATCCTGACAAAACGTGTGGAATCTGGTGTTGCTGTTAGTTCATTCACTATGGCTGAGTTGAAGTTGTCTGAAATCTAATCTTCAGTCATGCAAAGCTTTTATCCCATACAGTTGCATTGAAAAATACATTTGTAAAATTACCAGAGTTTCCTATGATGATATTCTGTATCAAAGTTGATGATAGTAGAAAATAACACTTACACCTTTGGATCTCCAGACGCGTGAGAATATTTGTGTCTGTGTTTCATTTTCAGATAGAATTCCAGAACCAGGAAGGATGGCTGGCGTGAGCATTGAAGAGCCCCTTGTTTTACAAAGTATAAACAGATGATACCTTTCATTTGCTAATTTCTCATGTAAAGCTCTGTAAGAGTTAATTTAGGAAATTCTTCTTTGCCTGAATTTCCCCAGTATGTCCAGTGGGACCATTTCAGCTCATTCGATCTACCCATGAGACAGGATGACAGGGTCACACTCATTGTCAATGAAAAAAATGTTAGCAAAGGCTCTCTTCCTCCGGTGCTGACAGAAGGAAAGCTGTATGTGAAGTCAGATGAGTGAAGCCTACGTCTAGAATTGGGCCAAAAAATACTGGTTTTACTTTATAAAAATTGATCAGATAAGTTATCATTTCTGCACTTTCCTTATTATGTTATGTCTTTGTGTCTTCCCTGTGTTTCTGAATAAAATTTTTCAGGTTTATGCTGTGTGGTATTTTGAAAGCGTCCAAACTAAGCCCTTTAATCATTCTTCTTTAAAAAGAAGCAGCTGCTACTTCTGGATAAGTATGGGAAAATAAGTTTTCCTAGAATATTAAAGTGCTTTAGAGGAATAGTTGTTTATGATTCTCCGGAAATGAGGACTATATTTATCTTCATGCCAGCAAACAAATGACCATCAGTCTTTTCCATCGGGAGTTGCTATAAATTGTACGGTGTAACACTGAGCATATAGGATGGAAGGAACGTCTGTTTTTTTCCCCAAACAACATGAAACTCAAAGCCAGGCAAAACTAAAAATAAAGTTGATAATAGATTACTGATTCCCAGAACTTTTTTTTAGCTGAGGTATTTACATGTTTTGAAATGGTTATTTATTTTAAAAGCCAAACTTACAGGGGTACATCAAAAAATAACAGGTTAGCTATTTTTCTTCTACCCATTTTAACAAAATGTATAGATGTTAGTGTTCCCAGTGGTACTGAGAGGAGTTTTCTGTAAATAAATTTTTAGGGTTGCATTCTTAAAAATCTTAATTGTTAGATAAATGGTACAGTAAGTGGGGAAAAAAAAGAGGAAGAGAACGTGCAGCTTGTGTATTTAAGTGAAAGGACCCTGAATTGTACAGACGGCAAAGTTTTGCCTTGATTATCTTGTTTGACCTAGTTAGCATTACAGGTATTTTTTCAGTTTGATAAGCAGCCTAGCTTCTACTCGAATGTGAAATTGCAGAGAACAGTTACAGGTTGAAAGGAGAAGTTGCAGTTATCCATTTGGAGCCTCAGCAATGAGTTCGTGCCCTTGGTGTGACTGGCCGTGCTGCCAGCTCCCCATTTACTGATTTATAAGTGTGTCCGCACTGTTTCCAAGAGGGGAGGACACGTGTCTGCAGATAGACCTCAATCAAATCCATCTGTAAGTCTTTTGTAGCTTTGCACCAATTAAAATTGACCATTGGGTCAAGCAAACAACTTTATCTCTGTACGTCCTCACTGTTTGCTCAGCACTAACACCACCGTCAGGTTCAACGGCTTGGCTGAAGAGCCACCCGTGTAAAAACCACCACGGGATTCTGCCTCCTTACCAGGGTCTTTCCTGCCACAGTAATGCAAATATTCACAATCACTGATCTCTTCTCAATTTCTCTGCCTAAAAATATAGTAGAAAAATGGTCTTCTAAGCCGTTATTTGCAAATTACCTTCGTTTTGGAATGAGCTGAAAGTGCCTCTATGGAAGGTTGCAAAAATGAAGAATGCAGATGTGATTGCTCTGGCCACAGAAATCCCTGAATTTTTAACTTGGGTTTTCCAGAGGTTAAATGCTAGACCCCTGTTTCTCCATGAACCAGTGGGTCAAATCGTTATGTATATTTGGAATCCGAATTGTCTTTTCAAGGGCAAGGAAAAAGGCTCTGGGAAACAGAGGAGCGGTAACCTGCCGCGCTATGCACATCTTCCAGTGTGACCAAAGCCATCGCATCCGCTTTCTCTCTTCCCACCAGAGATCATACAGAAGCTGCCCAGGTGCCTCAGCGCTCCCTGGGAAATGGATTTTTAGTGGTAGAAGTTAAATACCATTTTTGTTCTGGTTGAAGAAGGCAAAGGGATGCTTGGTACTTGCCCTTCCCCAAGCACACAGCTCGGCGTGCTCATGGCCTCCACAGCCACGAAAGCAGAAGCGGTTACAAGGGTGTCCTTCACGGAACTTCGAGGTAAAGGTGTGTATCTGAAATCAGAGAAGAAACCCGTTTAAGACGGAGGGAAGCTCAGGACTATTTTCTTTGGGGAGTGCAGCGTCAGCCCATTGTCAGGACCCTGCGCTGGGACAGTGGGTGGGAGCTGGCCCCTCTGCTCTCAGGGTAACGTGCATTTCATGTAATTCTCCAACGCCCTCACAATACAGATTTGGGGTTTCGGAACAATCTCTTGTTTCAAAGTATAATCATTGTACAAGCAAATTAAAATCAAATTAAAGTGCATTTCCAGCGATATTTGTTTGTACAACAAAGCTTTGAAATATGTCTATGAAAATATACTGGTCTAATCACGTTATTAATGGCCTAGCATTTATCCTGACAGCACATGAAACATGAGAGCATCCTTCAAGATGCAGACGTGTAGCAAGTCCTATGAATGTCAGGCTGCCTTACTTGCTAACGGATGAAGAGGAATTGCAAAGCCCGTACAATATGGCTGCACTTTTCCACAAAATCATTCCTTAAAAGTTTAAGCTAAGCGATGTCAGTATTTAGATGAAAATAATTCACAGTCCTAGAGTCACAGGTTCAGGTTTTAGATGAAATTACCGCCTAGGTGAGTGTGCACAAAAATAACTTTCTCAAATAATTTCAGAAGCACCGTCTAGCTTAACTACAGACTGTGATGTCTTGGATTAACTGTCCTTATTCCTCCTATTGACATCAGGAGAAAAAAAATATATATGAGCACATGTAGAAGCTTGAGGGGTTTAATGAGCAAAATGCATTTCTGAACCTCACTGGAGACAGAGCACCGTAACTGAGACAGTTACGGAGGGAATTACGTTCAAAGAGGCTGTTCTTTTTCTAAGCATGATATCACAAGTGAAGGCGACAAGGAGCCAGTGAAGTTTGGTGTGGATATCAGATCTGGAAAGCACTTGGGAAGAACTTAACCCACAAGTTTTAAAAAAAATAAAATTCTTTAAACCCAAATTTTTGCTCTCCCCTAGAATCAGAGGAAACTATGCTTATAGACTCCACAGCAGCAGTGCTGTTGCAGAGGTATTCGTTTCTGTCACGCACAGGGGAAACTTTTTTTCTAAGCTTTATCAACGCGCTCCAAGGAGTCGGTTACGCTTTCCTTCCTGAGCGCCCTTTGTATCGAGCCGAATCTCGGTGTCAGTTGAACAGTTTTTCCGGAGGAGTGATTATCATTGGGTGATTGTGTTTAGGAAAAGAAACCCCCAAACGTTTGTTGACACTTGCAGAGACACCTCTTTCAGTAGCAGCTGGTGTCCAGCTGATCCAGAATTGACCTGTGTGCTTCACATACTTCACTTGACCTGCAGCCAGCATTAAGCACAAAGCTCAATGTTAAGCAGCGGGTGACTATTTCACCTCGGCAGACTACTCGCATGATTAATTGTTCTCGTTTGGACGCGGACTGTCCCTCCTGTTGCAAGAGCACAGCTCAACACAGGTGGTAACCCACCGGTACGCTTGTCAGGTCCAGTTACATAGGTCAGCTTAGAGAAACATGGTTGGTAAACTTAGGTAAAAACATTTTTAAACAAAAAAGTTGCTTACCTGACACACATTATTTAACAAACTAACGTCACCATCTGTGCTTTTCTTTTTTCTCTCCTTTGTATTCGGGTTACATGGTGATAAGGCAGCTTAAAGTTCGTTCTCAAGTCATCGTCTTCCCCCCCCCTCCTGCCCCCAAGTACAATATTTACAGTGCAAATTCAGCAAGGAGATATTTTAAGGGCAGGCTGCTCAATACTTTATTTTTTCTAGAAAAATAATTAAACCAAATAAACAAATCAGAGGGGGGTTAAATAAAGCTTATTTGTTGTCACAAAAGCATCGTCCACTGGGAATCCACAGCTTTCATTTTGAGGCAACTTTGGTTTAAAAAAATACCACAATATTTAGGAAAGTCCAACCAGGCTATTATATTAGTACATTCTTACATTAACTTTTAAGTGAAGGTTGGAAGCCACGCTTACACTTATCAGTTCCTACCCCACACGGCTCCAGAGTGCCAACTGGTTCAGTCCCAGCACTAATATTTTTTAGACTTTCCAGCTCCCTTTAATGCCACATCATATATCACCCTCCACCACTGCCTCTGTTAAACACACTACTCAAGCAGCAAGCCTGCATGTGCACATGCAGCGCTTTGCAAACCAGCCGGAATAATTTCCACTCCTTTTTAAGCTACTATGAAAAACTTGCCCGGTTTTGTGAACCAGCTGCATGGGTTTAAAAGCAACTTCTTAGGACAAATGTTGAAATGATCATACTTTTCAGAGGATCCCCTTGCATTTTGTTATTTTGTGTTCATTCTATTCCTATTTAAAACCTAAGTTTGCAACTGAGAAACTGCAGGAAAAAAACCAGAGAGTGAACTACCCAGTGAGGGACTTTCTACTAAGAAGGGCAAGTTTCTTGGATTTCCATCCTGGCGATCATTTCCCCCGGCTTTGCTCCAACGCAGCCACACGTGCACGAGCCTGATACGAGACTGCTGCCTTTCAGCTCCGGGGAGGGCTTTGCACAGCTGCGTGGCAGCCCCGCACCTTGCGAGGCGGCGGACACTGACCCTCCACCTGAAGGATAGCCTGCGACCGCTGGCACCGTGCAACTCTGTTGGCAATCCTGGTCTTCTCCAGCTGAGGCCTGACCATGAGTCTGTATGTGATATTTCCCCTCTCTCCTGTTTGCCCAAATGTGTTCACCCCGGTCAGAGCTAGAAGAAGGGGCTACAGGTCTGTCATACCTGCAAGTGCTGGCACTTTGACTGAGTGACAGCAGAGGTTTCAGCCCAGCCTCCCTTCATAGGTATTTTTTTTAGGATGCCGAGACCAATATGAGCCTCATCCATCTTCTCCAGGAGGGTTTATTTT